AGATGACTGCCCATGAAACTGCAAATCTACTATAGACAACTTGCTATTCCTTTCAAATATATAACAAAATTATCATGTAAATTTTTTCCTTCCCTTCCCCCCCTCAAGATGACTACCATTAGACCCAAATTGGCATACACACACACACACACACACACACACACACACACACACACATCCTGTAGGCAATTCTATAAGACTATAAACTGCAGACCTTCATTGAAAGTTTCCTCTTTCTTGAATTTCTTCTAACAATGAAATGTGGACATTTTCAGTCCCAATCCACTAGTTGTTTATTATGGAACCATTGACCACTTACATTTGAAACAAATAAAGCATTTAACTAGTTTAAAAAAAAAAAGTTCTACTAACATTTAAGTGCTAGGCCTAGAGTCAAGAAGACCTGAGTTTAAGACACTTACTAGTTGTGTGACCCTGGGCAATTCACTTAATCCCTTTTGCCTCAGTCTCCTCATCTGAAAAATGAGCTGGAGAAGGAAATGGCAAACCATTACAGTTATCTCTGCCAAGAAAACCCTAAAATGGGTCAACGGAAAAATGACTTAACAATAACATTAAGATAATGAGCCTGACTGTAATTCTGGCTTAACTATCTAATCGTAGTTTCAGGTTAAGATCTAAGATAAGTTAGGCAGTTATAAAGGGATCTACCTGCTTTCATTATTTCTAGACAGAAAATGTGAAGGACCTGTGATTTCAACAGTGTAGGGAACTCTCTTTACCACTTAGGAAGATGCTTAGGGGTTGTGACTTGCCTACAGTCAGTGTTGTAGGGCATAATTTGAACCAGGCTTTCCTGACAAGCCCAGCACTACACCCTGGGCTTTAGTTAGATTTTTTCTTTAACAGGCCCTTTTCTGGTCAAAGGATATGAACAGTTTTCAGAAGAAATCAAAGCTATCAGTAGTCACATAAGAAATGCTCTAAATCAGTATTGATTAGAGAAATGCAAATAAAAATAACTCTACCAGATTGGCTAACATGACGGAAAAGAAAAATGATAAATGCTGGAGGAGATGTGGAAAAATAGGTACAATATTGCATTGCTGGTGGAGTTGTGAACTGGTCCAACTAGTCTGGAGAATGGTTTGGAACTATACCCAAAGGGCTATAAAACTGCGCCCACCCTTTGACCCAACAACACCACTACAAGATCTGCATTCCAAAGAGATAGAAGGACCTGTATGTACAAAAAGCATTTACATCTGCTTTTTTCTTTTTTTAAGCAGTTCTTTTTGTTATGGCAAAGAACTGGTAGAAGTTGGCTGTCCATCAAGCGGGGAATGGATGAACAAGTTGTATATGATTGTGATGAAATCCTATTGTGCCTTAAGAAATGCAGGATGGTTTCAGAAAAACCTGTAAGGTCTTATATGAACTCATGCAAAATAAAGTGAGCACAATCAGATCATTGTAGACAGTAACAGCAAATATTGTATGATGATACAACTGTGAAGAACTGAGCTAATCTGATCAATACAATGATCCAATGATTCCAAAGAACTCAACGATGAAAAATGTCATCCACCTCCAGAGAGAATTGATCAATCACTTTGTTTCCTGCTTTTTATTTTTTGCAACATGGCTAATACTGGAAATGTTTTACATGACTTCACCATGTATAATTGAAATTATATTGTTTGTTTTCTTAGTGGGTGGGGAAGGGGTAGGAGGGAGGGAGAGAATTTGGAACTCAAAATTTTAAAAAAAGCAATGTTAAATAGAAAGGGTTTTTTTTTTTTTTTTTCCCAAAAGGCCCTTTACCTGTGGTCTGTCTCTTTGGCCTTTACTCACAACTCTGGCCCTTGGTATTGAGGGATCCTAGTTGAAACTAGGATCTATTAATCAACAAGCATTTATTAAGAGACTATTATGTTAGGCACTAGGGATACAAAGAATGAGGTCTCTTTTAACTTGGTCAACAACCCGGCTCTCACCATTTTGCTTTTAATGCTAGAGCTCCTGCTTTCCTGGCATTGCTCAGTGTCACTTCCATGCCGTTATTAGGCAGGACAGCGTCTTCTGTGAAAGCTGATATTTCTTTATTTCTGAGAAATAAAGAAAAATTGAAGTTGCGTGATCACCCTCATTTTCCTTTCCACTCCCCGAAAATATGAGACTACTACAATAAAAGCTTTATCCCAAGAGGACAAAACATCAGCCAACTAACATTTCTTTTTTTTTTTTGGAATGAGTCACCTTTGATGCTTGGTGTGATGTACAGGGGGGGTCTGACACTCCAGTGGCTCACTATTACCTCCAGAATCAAATATAAAATCTGCCCACTTTTAAAGCCTGTTGTGTTGGACAAGGGATACAAAGGAAGGCAAAAACAAAACAAAACACAAAAAAACAAAAAACAGGCAAATATGAGGAATTCAGAGAAATGTGGGAAGGTTTCTATGAACTGCCTTGACCGAAAGGAAGGACCAGGCACTTGCCAACTGCTCTGCCCATCCTTTACCCTCCACAATGGCCACTAATCCAGAGTCAAAGACCCTACTACCCTCCCTCACCCCATTATCTTTTCTACCTTGGAATGTGCCTTGGGGCACAGCTAATGCAGTCACTTTACCCCACTATAACTAGCCAGGCCTCAGGTCTTCAGACTCCTCCCTGGACCATCAGAGGCAGGACTAAGGACCTGAAATCTGTCTTGCTATCCCAAGCTCTCTACTGCCCCTTCCATTCCTTGTTCAGGGACTGATAATCAAATTGACCTTATTGCTACCGTGAAGAGGCCCCACTCAGAATCCCTAGCTTCTTTCCCTGGCCACTATCATTCCCTCCTTTCTTTTATTCATCAGTCCAACACCTCCTGTGTCTCAATCCCACTCTACTCTACCCTTCCACTGTAGGTCTGGAACCTATTCTATCATTCACAAACTATCAGACCTATGCCTTCCTGCTCATATATACTTCGTGTTTCAATCTCTATGTAAGTGTTTCCTTTCAAAAGAGCATAAACTCCTTGAGGGAAGTTTCCTGTTCGTCTCTTGACACCCGGCATAATTCCTGGCATGTAGGGGCAGCTTAATTCACATTTATTGAACTGAGGTCAAAACAAGCAAAACCAAGAAACAACAAATAAAATGAGAAAATCACTAAAAGGAAGTTGAACTGAGAAATGGAAAATACAAGTCCTAGAGAGGATAATGAAATACTGTCCTTCCTCATGTTGGGCTCCATGGACAAACTGTCAGTCTCTGAACCTGATGTTTTTACTTAATTGTTTTTATCACAAATGAGGGCTTGGTCTGAAGAGATTGGTGGAAAATGACTGATGTAAAGATAAAAGGTCTTTTTTAATGTCAGAAAAGCCAAACATCTTTACCTTTTTAATTGGCTTGAAAACTCACCCCCCTCCTTTTAGTATTTCTTAATTAAAGTGAAATTGAGTAAAGATGACCAGATATCCACCTAACCTTGTTTACTAACAAAATATTCCTTGAAGAAAAAAGTACAAAAATATGAACTAAATATATAGATTTTCCTTATTTTCAAAATAGAAGACATATACATCAAACAAAATATGCCCTTTTAAGTCAGTCTTTTGAGCAATCTTCTGTTACTTAGTATACCATGTAAACATGAGCTTAATGTAGGTATCCTCTCACTTAGTAAAAAATCTATTCTTAAGGAATTTCAGGACAAATTAAAACTTCATTCTAAAGAACAGTGCAATGCCTTTTCAAATGTGTAATGGAAGTCAACATGAAAATGGGATTCATTAAGTGAAATTTAACAGTATTTTTGTGGAACTCATCTATTCTGTTAAGTGCGGGAAACTCATACATATTACATGATGATGAAATTGGACAGTATTATTCCAGTCATGTGCTGGTTTATTTCTGCTTCTGACAGCTGTGACTGTGATTCATTTCTTTCAGTCTGTGTTTTACCACTAAAACCACCTAGGAGCTTGGCTAGAGAAGCTTGTAATAAAAGCCTACTTGTGACTGGTGGGATTTCACTTAATTCACTTCTTTCTAACACCTGCAGCCTCCACTCTTTGTTGTCTAAACCCAGAGCCTGATAGAGGGGCATACATAGGGTTTTAATTTGGCACAGAGTGGAGTGCTTTCTGAGGCTGCCACTGAAGAGAGACAATCAGCATGTAATGGGCACTGGAGAGGTCTTGTGTTGCTTATGTAATCTGGGATCTGACAGTTTTACATACTCCAATTTGAACAATCCCCCCCCCCCCCAAAAAAAGAAATAAAGGTGATAAAAACTGACTTTGTATCCTGAATATAAAATGTTTCTTCTAGTTTAGAAAAATAGAAGCTAGAGATGTCTAAAAATAGCTGGAGTGGGTAACATATCTCATGTCAAAGCTTATTAATAAAACTGACATTTAACATCAGCTATTTATTATGCTGGATGCTTGCGTTACCCAATTTATTTACTACAAAATAAAATTCATTATAAAATGGATCTTTTTTGGATTTTACTCAAAGGATTGTTTACCAAAAGAGACTCATCATAAAGTGATTTTACAGTAAAATTTGGATTCAGTCAAAAGGCCACACTTAAGGATTTAGAAGGTCATATGGGGCCTTAAGGCCAAAGGTTCCCCACTCCTGATCTAGTTGGTCAAGTCAGAAAAGTTCTAAGGCTACTAATACAACTGCAGCTGTTCTGAGTCCTTTGTGTATATTCTTTTATTAACTAGAAAACATTTGGAAGCCAACAACATATATACTTATTCCCCCCCAGTGGAAGTAGTTTGATCTTGTTGCCTTTTCCAAGGTTAAGGTTTACTACTCAATTAAGAATTTGAGCTTTTTACATCTTTTTCATTTCCTCTTTTGGAGACTTTATCCTCATATCCTGGGAGGGCAAAGGGTTATTTAGACAAACGCAGTAAATTCAGAAAAAGAAATAAAAGAAAAAAAAAACCTATACATGGACTATCTAATAGTATGCTTTAAAAAAAAATACAATAGAAATTACATTTAAATAATTTTATTGTGGGAATTCTTTTTTATAAAAAACATTCAGTCACTAATGACATTGAATTTTTTTCATGATTATTGCACCATCTAGTGGTCTACTCTTAATTTCTATCAAGGTCTCATTACATTCAGCGATAGAAAACCATTTTCAATATAAAAATTGTATAAATTATACCCAATATACTTTATACACATACAACAAAGACACATAAAAACAAATAGATTCTTGTAAAGTCTTATTCTCATGTCTAGAAATATTGGCTCTGTCAGCCTAGAAATTTTCTGGTTTTACCAACTCAGTCCAATCATGACCCTTTCCCACAACACTACATTTTTAAGGATGATTTTCCTTGCAAAGATTTTGTTGCAAGATCGGCTCTTTCTTTAAGTGCATTGGCTTCTTCAGCACTCTGGAGGGCCTGTGCATTCCTCAGTAAGAAATGGCTAATAAAAAGCTTCAAACCTTCCCGCAACATTCCCAGCTTTGGGTTGTCAGACACTCTGGGGAAAAAAGTGTAAAAATATGAGAATCAACAAAACTAGTTTCTTTTATATATCTCCTTATACCAAAAATATGTATAAAATGAAAAAAATCAAGGATTAAATATGGCAACAAAATCATTTTCTAATAATAATACTAAATTTAGAACAACTTATGTACTGACAGTATTAGGTTGTTTTGTTTTCCACATCAAACACTTTGTGGCAAAATAATTATAATACCTATTTAAAATGAAACTTCAAAAATTCCCTCCATAAAATTTGCCATTATAGATGGAATCAATTGAATGGAAGAAAAACCAAGGAACATTGCACTCTTCAAGTCATATTCTCTCCACATGTCATAATCTTATTACATACCTGCCAAAAATTGTGGCAAGTTCTTCAACTTCTGTTTCCATTAATAGCATATGTAATATTTTCCGTAAAAAGTGGACTCTGGGTTTGTTCAGTTCACTGAATTCAATTACCTAAGATAATATTAATTCATAATAATTAAAAAGAACTTTAAATACAATTACATTTTTTCCTAGTGACTTCCAGATATATGCCATTGGAAAAAGAAAAATAATGCTATTCTGAAAGAGGTTCTTATTTTGTTTTATAAAATTATGAAGCAGACAACAATACATTACTTTACCGACACATTTCTAATGAACCACTACTTCTAGTCATGAAATGAGAGGCCAAATCTCCACGTGCTTCTTTACCAAAGAAGAGGGCCAAGTGCATTACTGTATCACTATAGACTAGATGCTTGCACGCATTACCTTTGTTTCAATTTCCCTCTCCATTATAAAATTTAATGTAGGGGCAGCTAGGATAGAGCACTGCACCTGGAGTCAGGAGGACCTGAGTTCAAATTCAGCCTCAGACACCTGACACTTACTAGCTGTGTGACCCTGGGCAAATCACTTAACCCCACTGCCTAGCAAAAAAGACAAAATAAAAAAAAAAAAGAAGAAGAAGAAGAAATGGGCTTTGTTCTTGGGGCAACTAGGTGGCGCAGTGGATAGAGCAGTGGCCCTGGAGTCAGGAGGACCTGAGTTCAAACCTGGCCTCAGACCAAATACTTGACACTTACTAGCTGTGTGAGCCTGGGCAAGTCACTTAACCCCAACTGCCTTAAAAAGAAAGAAAAATTTAATGTGTAAACTTACAGAAAATTATAAATTATGAATTACAAAAATATGTATAATTAGCAAATCAGCAAGTTTATGGGGACACTAGAGATAACTGTACAGAAAAGCAAACTGAGGCCAGAGAGACTAAATAACTTGCCCGAAGTCACATAAGTGTGACAAATCCAAGAAGCAGGATTTAGAAACAACTCCAAAATACTCTCCAGTAGTAGTAGTAGTAGTAGTAGTAGTAGTTGTAGGTACTACTACTACTACTACAACATCTTACTGTATCCACCACAAGTCCCATAAAATTCTTAATACGTTATGCCAATATCTTAAAGTCAGAAAAATTAACAAACTAAACAACACAGCTGAGGTACGTATCTGAATGTCAAAATTTAATGTCCAAACTGAAATAAATAACTTTAAGGGCCCACACGTAGAGTAGAAATAGGAGTTAAAGTTTCCTTGAGCAGACATAATACTTTAAGGAAAAACTGTAGCCTCGAAGCGCACACAGACTATGCACTTCATTGATATTTGATCACATTCTTTTGGTACAGAGATTGACAATCTAAGTCAGAGTGATTCTGGATTCTAGTTGAACTAACAGCACAAAAAAGTGTGGAAACACCCACGCTGTTAGGTCAGGAGCTGCAGGCCTGTATTTCACAGCAGCCAGGAAAGGGATAAGTCCTGAGCACACGCTGGCTGCCCATGATGTGTCTGCTTCTGTGATGTGTCTGTACGAGACAAAAAGCTAGGAGGACGGCTCAGTTCCCCTCTTTGTGGTGGCTCTGCCTCTGGAGTCAGCTCTCCCTCATGGGTTTTCTCTTTCACAGATCCCTCAGCCTACAGACGCTCTCTAAAAAGTTAAGTATTTCCACCTTTACAAGGCTCCACAATCCTTCTTGCCCTGAAAAATAACAAGACTCTAGGATGGTTGTAGATTAGGTTCAGCCTTTTCACTTGGTGGATGAAGAACAGAAGTCACTTAAGTAACTCATTATTAGCAGAGATGCCAAGGAAGGGAATGCTTCTCAGACACTCTGGGTAGACTGTCAAGCCCATTAGATACCCAGCAGCTCAGGGTATCTGTTGGAAAACTTCAACTGGCTTCAAGGGATAAGATTATGTCCTATTCTCAGTCAGGTACCCCGAAACACAAAACTGACTTGGTGTCCTTCCAAGACTGCCCTCCTCTCCCCAGGAGGAAGCATGACCGACATGGGGACAGAGCTGTGCTCCAAATCCTACCTTGGCACTTCCTGTGTCTGTGACCTGGGGAGGGAGCCACCCAACCTCACACTCCTGGAGGCAACTCCCAAGAAGCTGCCAACCTTCACTGAAAGAGGGAGCTTCCTCCCTTGGAGTCACCTAGATCAGCAATGTCCCAGGGCCAGTTCTCTATGCCTCTCTCAACAGCCCAGATTTCCCAATTCTCCAGCTTAGTCTCAGGAAGTCAGTGCCACTGAAAAGAAGCTAAAGGTTATTTCTAGCAATGAAGACAGATAATCCAGATGATAAGCAAGCCATAACCTCTCTCCCATTTCAGTCAATTATTATCTACTTAGATTCAGAAAAGTCCCAGTCTGAATGCTGTGGGTGGTTTGTTATTGGGATTCACACAAAAATGGGAGAGAGAAAAGTAGTCATCTCTGATGATGAACATCAGGGACTCTGATCCACTATCTCATTTCCAGACCAAATGACAGAATTCCCTAGACATTAACCTACCTCTATAAATGTGGGCACACCCACACTTCTAAGTTTCCTTATTTTCTCTGAACATTGGCATATGTGTATTTCCAAGAATTAAAAGTACAACTTGCACGTTAACACTAAATTCAGTAATATAAACACTCACCTAGGCTAGTAATATACCTCTGAACATGCTTATTGAGTGTACTGGTGCAGGGAATAAATAAACTGACTACAGGTTCATTGGACACACATATGATGTTTGATTATTATAAAGAGCTATAACAAAACAGCAGAAGTCATTTAAAAAGATTTATGTTTAACCAAGAGTATTTTAAAGGCTAATATTAATTCATTCATTAATTACAAACCTTAAAGATAGAAAGTGGAAGTGACTTTTTCTTCAGCAAGTGGGCCACCAACTGCACAAAATTAGAAAATGTAGTAGCTGACAAATTTTCTAAATCCCGAAATTTGTCCCATATGCTGAACTGGAATGTCATCTACTCCAAAAGAAAAAAAAATAAAATCACAATGCAACAAATACACAGGTAGAAGTGGGATGTAACATCATAATACAATGCCATTCTATTCCTTTCTCATTAAAAGAATGCTATCATAAAACATAATTTATGATTAAATATAATATTTGTTGATACTTCAATGAATAGAGATATGAAAAGCATGACCCTTATTAAAACATTGTTACTATAAAATGAAATCTTTTGGTTAATAGCAAGTTAAAATGTATTTAATCTTATTAAATATATAAAGGCTTCTGAAAGCAAATATACCAGTTTCTTAGTAGCTAAGGATTCTTATAATGATTTCTTTCAAAACCTAGTTTCCTAATTTAAAGTGGACAATAATACACTGAACTGAAATATGTAAAGTACTGCTTAAAGAAACTCTTTAGCAGAAGACATAGAACTAGGTGACGAGAACTCAAGTTGTAAATCTGGCTCTGAAACTCACCTCATCTGTGATATAAATTATGTCACATCTGGAGCTGGGGGGTGTGGTGCAGAGGAGGAAGAAAGAATTGTTGAGGGAAAGGAGAACAAAAATACATCTGGCCAATGAGTAAACTTCAGTACTTATCTATTATAAAACATTCAACTTACCTGAAATCTCCTTTCATATTCACAAAATTTGCTAGCCAAATATGCATAAAAAGGATTATATGTTTTCTCTTGTAGGCAGCAATCTATGAGGACATGAACTATCTCTCTTTCTTGCTGATCCTTGAGTCCAAGTCTGCAAGTAAGAAACAGCAATAAATCAGAAATCATTTAACTTCCAAAATTTTAACTCTTTTAAGACAGGAACTACATAAGTAAAAGAGAACGAAATCTCTTTGAAATAAATTTTGAAAGACAGAATCTGAAGAAAAAAAATCTCTTAGTAGAGGGCAACATTAGAAGAGAAAGAACACTGGATTGGGAGTCACAGATTGTAGCCCTGCATCTGTTGCTATCTATCTGTATGACCACAGACAAAATCTTTTATTTTTCTCAGCCTCAGCTGAGCTTAGAGCAGATATTTAAGGTCTCTCCTAGCTCTAAAATAAGGCCAGATCAATGCTGATATAAAATCATATGTGAGCTTAAGAGTTAGATCTATTTTAAGGCAATCGTTTGGCCATCTAATACTTTTCACCTCAAGAGGTGAAAATTGAGGTAGGGTTTCCAGAAATCTGGAAGCCATGGGGAAGAAACTTTTTTCTTGTTTCTTCTTAGCTAAAAAAAAAAAAACATTAAAGTTTTTCTACCCAACCACTTATAACTAATATTTTTTTTCCTTTTTCTATCTCTACTTGAATATTACAACTAGATCATTTGACATCAATACAAATTGCTGATAAATTAACACTAATTATTTTGTGTCAATAGTTTAATTTTTAATATGTTAGACAACCAAAGCCAGTGGTGCAAAAGCCCAGCAGGAAAGTAATTTTTCTAATATTTAAATGAAACCAGAAGACATAAGGAAGTTGTGGCTAATGGAAAGATTAATCGTGGAGGTATTCTACTTGGAGAGGCAAATAAGGAATTGGAAGAATTGGTTTCATATGCTCAGAGGCAATAAGAAACATCATTTTATGGGACACTTGGTTATCTTGTCTTGTCGTATTTATGAACTTGGGATCATTACAGATATACAGTTGGAAGGGACCCCAGATGCCATCAAGTCCAAGGGAAGTTCAAGGTCACCCAGGTATTAAGCATCAGAGGTGAGATTTGAATCCAGATCTTCTGACTCCAGAACCAGTACTTATTCCACCATGATGCCTCCTACAAGCATAAAGATCACCATGAAAATAACTTCTGTTTATATGCTAACATCAATGGACTGAGGATAAAGATAAACCCTATGAAGAATCTGACAAGATTTTGTAAACCAAGCCAACACATACCTCGATACCTGGTAATTTCAATGCAAAGGGGGTATAGAATAAGACAGAAAGAAATATGGGAGAAAAAGTAATTCGGAATTAAGAAACTTTAAAAGAGGCTCAAGTATTATAGACTAATCAGAAGCTTCATGCTTGTATAGCATGTAATACTTCAGAAGAGAATAGGAAGGCACTAGAAATGGCAAGCACTAAACATCTCAAGAAAATGAAATAAACTATGGTTCAATAGATGGAAAATGTATTGTCATTAGTGTTGGAGTAGTTTTAAAATCAGCTGTCTACATGCAGTGAAACCATCCATTAGTTAAAGCAAAAGTAAAAATGAACACCAAACCAGAAGAGAGGATAATGAGCAGATATTGTCATCAATTACAACAGCTTTAGCCTGAATTATTCAAACCTTGAAAAACAAGAAACAGAAAAAAGAAAGGATACTTTTTACACCATTTCTAACAGAAGTTTAACTGATGTAAAGAAGTTACCACAAGGAATAGGAAAGAGTTCAGAAATAGCTTCCACAAACAAAACACCTAATCTCTCTTTGCCAAGACAAGAGAAAGACAAGGCAGCCAAGGGCAGCACTAGCTTAAGGGTACAGAACCACTGTTAAAATGTGGAAGGTTAGAAAGTTTTGCCTCAGGAAACAGGTAAAGAGAGTGGAGATGAAAGCAAGTCTTTGGATAGTTTGGCTTTGTGCTGACTGCATTAAGCACTAGAATATTACAGGGCCACTTAAGAGCCTGGCTTAACAATGCACAAAGGAAAAAAACCAGAGAAACATCTCCTGCCAGATCATGATGTACAGCTGGCAAGGCAGTCAGTCCACTGAATTATTAGTCTGCCAGTACATATATTGTGGACAGAAGTGGACAATAAGCTAAAAACTGTGCAGCCTCCACAATCATAACAAGCTGCTTCCACATAGATGCGCGCGTGCGCACACACACACACACAAGCACAAACATATACTTCAAACATGAATACTGTCTTGGTAATGCTATGTGGCTGAGAGGCAGCTCACTATATTAGATAAAGAGCTGTTTGGTCTAAGACCTGGGCTCCAATTCCGCCTTGGACATTTGCTAGCCATGTGACTCAAACAGACACATTGGTCATGTGGCAGAGCAAGAGGTGACCAACCAGTAAATGGCTTGTGTGCAGCACTGGTGTGCTTCTGATGCACAGGGAAATTGAGGAAGGCCTGTGGCCTACTAGTAGAACCCTTGTAGTGAATATATGGGACAATATAAGCAAGACAGGATGGGCGTGCAAGAATGGGTTATAAGCTGCATTGTTTGATGACATCCCAGATCCATCTGAGTGAGAGCTGTGTGACCATGGGTATACCACTTGACCTTTCTAAGCCTCCGTAAAATAAGGATAGAACCCATGGCATCTACCTCACAGCATTCTTGGAAGGCTCAATGAGACAACGTACATAAAATGTTTTGCCAACTTTCAAGGGCTATGTACTAGTCATTATCGTGATGGCTCTAAATCAGGCAACATCCTCCGATTTACCAGTACTGTACTGGTACCCTAGAAATGTTAGAAGACCTAAGAGGGTGGCACATTTGATGATAATGATGATACTGATAATAGGTAGCATTTCGATATCACTCTAAGGTTTGCAAAGTGTTTTGCAATTATTATCTCATTTGAACTTCACAACAGTCCTGGGAGGTAGGTACTATAATTCTTATTCTCATTTTACAGTTGAAGAAATTGAAGCAAACCGATGTAAAGCGAATGCTTTCTGTTTTACATAACAGAAAGCACCACAGTTGGTGAAGTAAATGTTCTAAGTCGAAATAAAAAACTTAAACAGCAGACTCCTCATTAACTTAAAAGTTTTCTTCTGTACTTCACTGGGAGAAGAAAGACAATTGCTAGAAAGTAAACTGAACCGAGGTATTTAGTTTTTATAAAAAGCAACATTTCCAAAGTAATGGGTCTGTTCAACTCATTAAACCATCTAGATCAAAGTACTACATAATATAATTCATGTTCACAATAAATGTAAGGTTTTTACTACAAGCTCATCCTTAATAAAAAATTCAAATATGTTTGGTATATACAGTACCTCTTAAGGCAGTAAAGAGGACTAACACACTTCAAAAAATATTTGTTCTTTTTCCTCATATTCTCCTCAATTAAAAAAAAGGAAAAGAAAACCCACATAATAAATATTATGGTCAAGTAAAGCAAATATCCTCAGCCAATGAACTTAAGAAATGTTTTCAGTTTGAAGATCAGAAAGGACCAATAATTCTTTGATTTAGCTCTAGTCAGAGACAAAAATAGTCAAATTACAAAAGAAACTTGAAAATTCCTATATGTACTTACTTCAGAAGCTTTTCAAAAGCATCCAAAAAGTCTTCACTAATCATCAATGTACAGAAAATATTTCTTCTGATATCAGTGTTCATTCTCTGCTTTCGGGCAAGCTCTAGTATCTTTGAACTAACCTTGAAAGAATCAAATATAAGCCATGGCTAATAAGCACATTATGGAAGCTTCTAAAATTTAAGTCTCTAGCAAAAAACTTCTGTAATTTTTTTTTTTTTTGCATCCTGACCCCAAAATAAAGTATAAGGAGAAATTAGGTGCTAAGTAATAAAATCAAAAGCTACTAGTGAAAGCCTATAGCATTAAAAACAAATCAAACACCACCCCTGTCCTGTACAAAGTTTAAAAGTTACAAATTGTGGGTTACATAGACATAACTAATGCAGCTAGAAAAAAAAATGTGGTACTAGCAGGTACTCAAAACTTTGCTGAACTGAATTGCTTGGACATAAATGATTTAGTCTTATAAATGAAACCTTTCAATGAGGAAAGAGACAATCATTTAAACTGCTGGTGCCTTACAAATGAGAGGGAAAGACAGAAACAGGAAAAGACTTAGAGAAAGCAGTAGGAATAGATGGGTAACATGCTTAACTGAGAAAAGCTTACATGCTAACAGTACAGTTTATGTGACTCATGAAAATAATGAACTAAAATAAAGATTTTAAAAATGTTTGCATTAATAAAAGACCTTTCAAGACTCAAAACTGCTTGCTCTAATCAGTATTGCATTTCTCTCTCTGTCACCTACTCTAACTTCTTTAACTATAATCATTAAGGTCCCTTCCAACAGTAAAGTTCTAGTACAATGAAAGCTTGCATATTTATAGGAAGCATATTTCATAACAAAAAGAAAAATTGATCAAACTGTGTGGCTTCTACTTTGGAATGAGAAAATTAGAGATTATTCTTTTAGTTTTCAAAGATGTGTGTGTTGGGGCAGCTAGGTGGCACAGTGGATAGAGCACCGGCCCTGAAGTCAGGAGGACCTGAGTTCAAAGCCGGCCTCAGACCAAACACTTGACACTTACTAGCTGCGTGACCCTGGGCAAGTCACTTAACCCCAATTGCCTAAAAACAAAAACAAAAAACAAACAACAAAAAAACCCCAACATAGATATGTGTGTGTATTTGCATAAACTTATTAATTCAAGAATTATTAAGGGCCTACTATGTGCAAGAGATAAAAGCTATACATGTCAGTCATTCTTCTAAAAAGCTTACATTTTAGAGGAAATATAAACAGAATAGCATAATAAGAATGAAATTCAAATAAAAACCCTTATTATTAGTTCAGTTTACCGTTCCTTTAAGTTGTTTCTGCTGGCTATGACTGTTGCTGTCGATCATTGGGGCTCCACTCCATGATGATCCCACAATCCACCACCTGCCAATCTGCTCTGCATTCAAAAGGCTTTCCCAGGAGACTCGAAGTTGAGTTTCTTTACCAGAACCACTGTTTCGAATCTATTTTAAAAATGAAACAATTTTCATTGTAGATTTTTTAAGTTGGTTTATACTTTATACTAACATATTCTTACAGCTAGTTCACGGACATTTAAAAATGACAGCTTTTGGGGAACCAATTAACTACATTTAAAACATCAAAATAATAATTTAATCATGGCAGTGAACATAATGTATGTGTAGAGACTATATTCTAACCCTACACATTTTATCCTACTTGGAATATCTACTTTAATTTCATGGCTTTAGTCTATTTTGCTAGAACTTTTCAGTACTGAGTTTACTTATATATTTTTCATTTAATTCTCATAGAATTCAAGAACATACTGTTAACTAAAACACAGAAGTTAATCTTATGAAGGAACCTACCCTCCCCACTAGTAATCAGATTTCTATTTCCAACTTCTCTAGTTATTGCCAGAGTTCATATTCCATAACCGTGTTTCTTCTTCCCTTTAAGGGGTTAAACCTCTCTGAGGTCTCCCTATCACCACAAGGGGAAATCTCAAATCCACATGAATGTGAATGTGGTTGTGTATATTCACTCAGGGTTGATTTATAGCACGGGTTCTAAAACAGTTTTTGTGTTATGTACAATTTTGGCAGCCTACTGAAGCTTATGGAACCCTTCTCAGAATACTGTTTTTGAATACATTTTAAAAAAACCCCACATAAGATTACAAAGGAAACCAATTATACTAAAATACAGTTATCAAAATATTAAAATAACAAGTTCATAAACACCAGGGTAAGAAAAGTCAGTGTTAAATTTCAGTACAGACATTCTCTGCCTTTCCAGTCTCTGCTTTTGAAAACTTTTTCTGCATTCAGGGGATCATACTAAGTAAGGCTTCGAAGTTTGGCCTCAAGGTCCCCTTTGGAGCTACTATTAAGAGGAGTCAAATTCCCAGATCACTGGAAGATCAGCATGGTATAGTGGTAAGGGTATTAGCCTTAGAGCCAAAGAATCTGGGTTCAAATCTGGGCTTTGTTACTTACTGCTTGTGTGACCTTGAAAAAGTCACTTTTATTTTTTTTGGGCTTCAGTTTCCTTATTTGTAAAAGGAAAAGTTTGGACTCTATGACCTCTCAGGTCCTTTTCAGGCCTTTTTCTGTAATCCTATTACTGTCTAGTGTTCATGCTCTAGAGAAAATTAGTTATAGTAAATCATTTGAGGATACTGGTTATTAGCAAAACAGTACAGTTTGCACCCCCCACCCCCAATTCTGTCTATAATTTGTAATTTGATGCAGAGATGGAATAGAAATGGAAACTGTTTATCTTACACAAAGGGATGTTGGATTCATTTTTCTATGGAAAGGCAAATATTAAGAAAGCAGAACAATTATCCAACTCTTGCAAAGCTTATCATTAGCTATTTTGAGACTATGCCTCCATAGATGGTAAGGGAACAAAAGTGAAATATTTTCTTTTAACCCGTAACAGTCTTATTCAAAGATGACCTTACTTAAAACCAAAAAATAAATTGCCTGAAAATCAGAATAAGTAAGACCCAAAATTATGAATGTACCAATTTGTCTACAGATATTAAACATATCATAGAAGGTAGTTTTCTCCAGTAGTATGCCTGATTATGTCAGCTTATTCTTTGTGTTTAAAAAAGCTTAACTAGTGTATGATAACGCATGGTAACATCCCTACCTCTATAATCCATTGAAAGTGATATTCCTGAACACTTTGAGACAGAACAAGCAAATGTACACTTCCCCAAGAAGACAACAGGTCCTCAGAAGGGATGAGATGCTAGTTGTTTTAAGACAGAGATAAAACACTGATTGTTGGGTTCTTGGTTGTTAGGTGAAAAGATATGAGGGAGAAGGGGTTCAAATATTGCTACTGTCAACAAGTGAATAACTGGGTATGAGTTTACCCTGACTGGTGGCTAGGTTGCCTAATTAATCAGTACACAAACAACACATTTGATATACCAAGTACAGATCACATATATTCAATAAAGGCTCATTATATAAAAAAAATGTCAAAACAAGAGCTTCTATTAAGATTTAAGTTTTAGAGGCTTTCTTGCCTAAATATACATATGTATGCTCCTTTAATTAGACCTGAGAGCTATATTAACAATAGTAGGAACTATTTTATAATAGTCAATTTATATCGTTCAGTGTTGTCTGATGTCCTGAATAATGGACTATTAACCAAGAATCTATGAACTTATTTTGTGAACAATTTGATAACTATTTCAATATAGTTGGTTTCCTTTATATAATCCTACGTAATTTATTTTATGCATTTAAAGACATTATTTGGAGAAGAGATTCCCCAGGCTTTACCAGACTGCCAAGGGGGGATATATCACAAAAAAAGGTTAAGAACCCATACTGTAAATAACGTACAGAGTTCTGAAATGATTAAAAACTATGTAATCCTAGGATGACATCAATTCTTGGTGAATTTAATATTTTGGAGGTGTTTGGTTAGAGTTTGACTACCCTATGTTTGACTCAACTGTTAGTCCACTGGTATTTGTGTTAACTGTGTATTAGTAATATTATAGCAGTAAAAATACATAATATTTGAAGGATCTGTAGGGAATTTTCTTGTAATAGTTCTCTCTTATCAACGAACATTACAGCTTGTCAATAACTTAGCAGATTAAGACCTAGTGAGGTGCCTGAGGCACAGAAATATTAAGTAATCTGCTATGGTCACAAAGCTAGTAAGTGTCAATGGCAGGATTGGAAGCTTCTTGATTTGAAGTCTTCTTTACTTAAAGTCTAGAGCTCTCATGCCTATGCCATACTTTTCCTATAAATAGTTTTTCTTAATGTGCAAAAAGGCTTCTGTCATTATTAAGGGTACAAGAAACAGTATGGCATGGTGGAGAACTAGCCTCTTGAGTTAGGAAGACACACTGAAACTCTGCCTCTGACACCGACCCTGATTAAGTCACTCAACCTTTTAGTACCCCCAGGGAATACTTCAAGACTGTAAGATTTGTTCTGGTAGAAAAAACTGCCTCTCTTGGAGTTCCCTGTACCAATTAAATCATAGGTTTGGTTAAAAATATGCATCCTTAAATTATGGAAAACTCTTTAACGAGCTAGTTTCTTCTTTTGAAGTGAAATGAAAAACTCCTGTAATATATATTACATATATTATGCATGCCTAAGAAATGTAGTGCTTTCAGACATCAATTAAATTATTTAGTAAAAGTCTTTTTAGACTTAAAAGCAGAATAAAATCTAGAAGGAGGGAAGCATAATTTAAGAGTTTTCTGGTCTTTCATCAGATTAAAAATGCCATCATTCCAAAAATTAGTAAAATTATAGTCTCTGCTAAATAGAGAACAAAAATAGAAAAAGCAAGGATATAGATAATAAGTTTAGAGTTTTGTTTTTGCTTAATATCTGTCACCACCATTCCAAAGGACTTTGACAATAATACCAGCAGACGATTCATGAGGCTCACACACATTTCAGAATAAGGAAAAACGTGAAAAAGACAAAAGAAGTTGTCAATGCAGCTCTAAGAGCTGTCATTATCTTGTATTTCACAAATTGTACAGTAGAGCTCAGGGATAAAATTTTCCAAGTCTTTTTGTTTTCCTTTTGCTGTTCTCCCCAACGTATGAAAACAGTCTCAAAACGGGGAGTTGACTTGTCTGTTGCCCAATTACCTTCCTAATTAAAAAATAAGGTTGTAAAAAGGAAGTTTTCTAACAAGCAGTAATATTATATATCTGTTAACCCCTATAATCTCAATAATCACATTAAAGGTGGCCAATAAAAACAAGCAGCACCATTTTCTTGAAGTTTAATTAGACTTTACTTAAAAAAATTACAAATAACCAAACTTGCCAAAGAGAGGTATTAGGGAATAATGATTTATACCACAAAAGAACCTTTTATAATGAGAATTCCTCTACTGCAATTAAAATGTACTTATAAATATGTATTAATATTGAATTACTTATAAAATTCAATTAAAATCAGAAATGTCATTTAAGTGATATTAACCTAAATGATTACAAGGGATTAGCTTGTTTAAAGTGGTAGACCAAAACTGGCTCTTCTCACTTAGACCACACTGTAAAATGACAGACAAGGTCTGCCATTAGTCTCCAATATCAGTCAACTCAAGATTTTCTTAATATATGATTTTTAGATTGATTATTGCTGTAAACAATATCAAAACAGATTAAATAGATGATTAGACTAGTCACTATGACGAGAGATCTGCAGTAGTCATAATTATGATTTCAACAATTCTTACTTGTACCCTGTGAAATTTGGGTCAGATTTTGATCTTTACTAAAATTATTACTTTCCTATACCCTGACTTCTGAGACTATAATCAAGGGTATATATTAGCCAACATACTTCAATATTTTAAACATATCTAAATTTCCTCACTGAGAATTACCTTGTCCAATGCAGAAAACTTCTGCAACTTAACAGACTTGTCTTTTACTTTCACTAAAACAACAACAACAACAACAAAATACATCACAGGGAACCATCTAATCTGGTGGAAATTATTCCTCACATTAAAGAGGCTGGCTCTCAGACCACAGACACACCCATAACTGGAGCCTTTCTGGTTTAATAGGACCCACAATGGAATAGCCTCAAAGACATGAGGTCACCTCCATGCCTAAATGAGGCATCAAGAGTAGGACTTTAGTATGGAGTTAACTGGCAAAGTAATCTAAAATGTAAATTAACATTAAACTACTTTTTTTTTTTTTTTTACCAATGTTCTCTGCAGTTTTCTTAGTTTCTCTACAGGTTCAGGGTCATAGCCTGGAATTTTGCGCATGTCATTATTCTTTAGTGCCAACATAGTCTCAAGCATGAATCGAATCTTTAAAAAAGAGAGAGAGAAACACTTAAAACTATAGTGAATAGTGCATTACTTAAATGGGTAGAAAACATATCCCTGTATATATGTATAGTGATTCATTATATTAATTCTTTTCTTTAGGGTAGGATATAAGGAATTTGCATTAACATAACCATTTATAATTGTTCTGAACTAGACTTCAAAATTCAAGTCAACATCATTAAATGTAGTAACATTTATGTAAACAAAGAAGGCAGTTGATCATGTTCCTTTATAGTCAGATTTAAAACTTCAGATTCACATTTATCTGCAGTCTGACAATTTTAAGGAGTTGGATCGTCCACATGTTAAAACTAATTTATAAAATTAGCTGAAGTAAAGAGCTAGGCATGAATTATCTATAGAAAATTAAATCTAATAGTTTACCAAGTTGTTTTTTGCTAATTCTCATCAAGTGTATTTCTTATGCTGTTCAATTATGCAATCATACCCTAGTTTGATCTTGGAACTTCTTGCCTACTCCACCGGCTTTAGTCTGGGCTTCAGTGATCAGGTCCTTCAGGGACAAAGCATCATCTTTTCTCAAGGAAAAACCTACATTTTTCAGCATTAGGAGAATCAATTCAATGTCCTTTTCTGTGAAAGTTCCAATAAGTCTTTTTAGAATGTCAAAGATGAGTAGAGATTGTACCACATGGAAGTTATATAGATGGGCAATTATGGCAAAAAGGTTGTCACACTCTTTTCCCTCACTACCAGTTTTATGTATTTCATCAAATTTCTTCACCACAGCTTCCAAAAAGTGAGCACCAACCTGAAAATAGATAGTTAAGAAGAAAAAAGTACATTAAAAAAAAAAGTAAAATTTTCTTTGGTTCCCCTTTTGTTAACCAAATTTAAAATACTTCTCATGAACACATACAAAATATACAGCATAAAAGGTGAGCTTCAATAGAGCACCTTAATCTCTAGTGTTAAGTACATCTGTACAATGCCCTGTATAACAGATATTTAATAACAAAAAATAATTTTCAGCATCTGAAACAGTAAAAATATATGCAGAATATTTCTCTGAGATTCAGTTTTCTTTTAAAAGATTGTACCACTTCCTAAAAACTAGTACTAAGAAAAAAAGGAAAAAATGGCTAAGGACATTGAGGCCATTTGATGTGAACTCAATCTTTTAGCAAACACAACATATAAAAGGAAAAGCAGAATTATGCAGACACAAAGAAACATTCATATGTGTACTTTCTGGTTTTGAATGGATTTAAATACAAAACAAAATTTTAAAGTTTAATTTTAAGCCTGCATTTTAAAATTATGCACTAGAAATAAAACCTGACAAGGAAATTTAATATAGTCTAACATTACAAATACAAATATATGAATTACAGCAACATTGCTACATGAATAATAAGAAGAATTAAAAGTTTATTCAACATCACACATTATTTAATATGGGAAATTTAAGAAAGTTTACATCCATCCGGAATTTAATTTTGATTCAGAAAAGACCAATAAAAAATATTTCATCAAACGACACCACGGTCTTTAATATATTTTTGTACAGGTTCCTGTGAGGATGTTTCTGCCATTATAGAATTAAAAGAAAGTTTAATGGAACTAGCATCCTGAAATAGCTCATTATACCTTGGCAAGAGCTTCAGTGGATATCATTAGCCAAGCTGCAGTAATGACTTCCCCTTTGGAACAAGTAATTTCAACTGTCTTTCATGCTATTAGCTAAGGTACAGACGATAAGTATGACTAATAATCTCATGTTTGCAGATAAAGTAAATCCTTGACATGCTGTGAATGGTCATTGTCCACTGTTATCATAACTCACTGAAATGCTAAGCTATCAGTGCTAAAACCTGATAGTAACTTTGCTCAAAAGTGTAACAATATGATTTAGGAAGACCTAAGCAAGTCCAGAAATGGCCATATAATGGCACTGTATGACTGCAATCAAAAGTTACTAAGAATGGCATTCAGGTGTTTCATTACATTTCATAATGGACAGGAAGAACTGGCTTACAACATTAAAGTACTGAAGAAAAGAGTACACCTCCTGGAAATAAAAGATAATGTAAAACATAGAATTAATTACCAACCATTTATGTGCAGATTATTCACAACAGAAATTACTTATACACTTTGACTTGTTTTTCTCTCTCTTATTCACTCACTAACCATTTGTTTAAGCATTTAACACACAGGAAATACTGTGTTAGGTGCTGAGGAGAAACAAAGATAACAAAACATGGCTCCAACTTCATGGTGTTCAGACTACAACAGAGGAGATATGAAACATCCACAGTATGAAATATTATATAATAAAAATACAACTACTGTGTAGAAGAGAATATGAGATTGGTACAAACTGCTACAGGAAGTCAAAGGAAAAATATTTCTGAGGAGGGAGCTCACAGAGAGCTTCGTGTAAAAGACAAAATTTCAGGAGCATTTTGAAGAATGAGTAGGATTTCAAACAGGTGGCAAAGGAGTGAAAGACATTCTAGTTGTACCAACTATTCTTAATATATACTACCTTAATGTAAACTAAGTCTGGCTGGCTAATTGATAAAATGATAATCAGTAGGGGTACACACCAGTGGGGGCTTTTGAGCTATTGTACTAGAAAGCCATTTCCCAAACTTTCAGAGTTTTACCCTAGAACCTAGTAGTTAGCTACTTCTTGAGTAGTTAGGTTAGAAGACTGAGCCAAGAGCAATGTGGAACAGCAAGTAGTACAATTTGGCCAGAGCAAAGAGTATGTGGCAGGGAGAATAACAAAATAAGGCTTGACTCCTTATTGCCTATAAAATAAGCCATCTCCCATGCTTGGAATGCATCCCATCTTCATCTCTACCTTGGTCCTTAAACACTCAGTTTAGATGCCACCTACTCCATGCAGCATTCCTAGATTCCCCCAGGTGTTAATACTGTCACACTAATATTTTATATTATATTTACTTTTTGTACATGCTGTATTCCCTCTAATAGAATCTCAGCTCCCTGAAGACAGAATTGCTTTGTTTTTAATCTTTGCATCTTTAGTGCACAGTGTCAATAATTGTCTGTGGAGCTGAACTGAAAGCACTGGGTGCTTACAGATTGTATAGAACCTTGAATGCCAACCTAGAGGTTAAGATTTTATTTAGTAAGTAATAGAAAACCACTAAAAAGTACTGAGTAGATGAGGAACATTAGATGTATGCATAAGGAAGATTAATATCTATTTGCCTGGGGGTAAAGGAAGGATTAGAGAGGCGCAAGCATGAAGGTGGAAAAGCTGGTTATCAAGGAGGCTTCTTAAATATAGTCTAGGTGGGAAGCACTGATGACTTGTAGTACAGAGTAGGAAAGAAATGAAGATAAAGATGCGAGATGGTATGAAAGAACACAGCAACTCATTGGACTTAATAAGAAAGAGAAGAAGCAAAGATAACATTAAGGTTTTGAGAATGGGTGACTAGGTAAATGGTAACAGCAAAATTATACAGATGCCTACAAGAACACTTAAAACAAATCGACTAAAACACTAAAGTAATATGAACCTAAACAGAATGGACAAAATACAGGAAAGTCAAGGCAATTACAAGTTAAGGAGTCAGTAGGAAGGGAAGCTGTTAGGAGAGTGACTGAAAACTCTGTCCTTTGCCACTGTGCTAAAAATTGTTATCAATACGTATCAAATTTAGAGATGACACAAAGCTATGAGGGATGCCACACACTTGATGGGAAAATCTAGAATCCAAAAAGGTCATGATGAGCTGTAGAAATGGGCTAAACTCAAGAAGATCTTACTTGTATTGGGGATCTGCTGATCTGACTTAATGTCCTATTTCCTTCCAATACGCTGTCAATTCCTTGAGGATTTTCATTCTTGCTTTGTATTCCAAATGCTCAGTACAGAGTCTGCCACAAAGCAAACACTTAATAAAAGCCTGTTTAAGATTAAACATAATAGGGATAGCTATGTCTTATACTTGGGTTAAAAAAAAAATCAACTGTCCAAATACAGGAGGGGAAGAGACAGTTGTTGAGGAAAGGAAAAAAAAAAGCAAACCACTGTACCTTTGGGTTTAGGTTAATTAAAATATTAAATGAGTGTAAAAATGCCTGTCAGAAAAACTGAAGTGATTTTTATGCTGTATTAACAGAAACACAGTATCTAGAATGAAGGAAGTGATATTCCCATTATAAGGTCCTAGTCAGAGCATGTCTAGAATTCAGTTTGGGGTTACACATTTAGGAAGGACCTTAATAAGCTTGAGGATAATTCTAGTAAGAATCACTATGATGGTTGAGGGAACTTGAAACCATACCATATGAAATTCAAATGAAGGAATGGAAGATGTCTAACTTGTATAAAAGCAGCCTTATCAAGGGATAACTGTCTTCAGACATCTGAAGGGTTGTTCTATGGAAGAGGGATTGGACTTGTTCTAGCTGAACTCAGAGGGCTGAACTAAGACCAAAGTATGGAAGTTACAGGTAGGCAGATTTCAGTTTGACATAAACAAAAATTTCCCGTTCAGTTGTTTTTCAGTCATGTCCGACTCTTCATAAACCCATTTGGGGTTTTCTTGGCAAAGATACTGGAGAGGTTTGCCACAATTAGGACTGTCCAAAAGTAGAACAGCAATCTCAGAATATTAAGAGAAATGTCCAAGCAAAAGCTAGATGACCACTCTGTTTAGAAAAGGTTCTCATTTCAGTTAAGGATTTGGATTAGACAAGCTTTGAGGTCTCTTTCAACTAAGGAAATCTATGAAATCTCAGAGTAATATATGAAGAACAACTAGAAAAGATAGAATGGAAAACTGGGAACAGTTGATCAATAAGCATTATTTGAGCAATTGATTTGAACATCTACTTTTGGACTGTTTTTGTTGTGATCGAGTCATTTGTCATATCTGACTCTTTGTGACCCCCATTGGGGTTTTCTTGGCAAAGATACTGGAGTGCTTTGCCATTTCTTTCTCCAGCTCGTTTTACAGATGAATAAACTGAGGCAAACAGGATTAAGTGACTTGCCCAGCATCACACAGGTAGTAAGCATTGGAGGCTGTATTTGAACTCAGGCCTTCCTGATTCTAGGCCTGGCACTCTTATCCACTACATCACCCAGCTGTCCTGTTTTTGGACTATAGGAGACAATTATCAAATATGGTTCCTCCTTCAAATACTTTACAGGTTAGTTACAAAGATAAGCTCAAATAAGACTCTACACCTGAATCCACCCTTGACACATACTGGGTCCTCTGGCAAGTCATTTAAACCTCCAGAGGCCTGGGAAATTCTTGAAGCCTTTAACACTTTGTTGTAGAGAAATTATCAATTTGCACTGATAAAGGAAGGCTCCTTACCAGGAGCTCCCTATACCTAAATTGACTGGCCTAATACAAAACAAAAGGATCAACTGTGAAGTATATAAGGCAGAATAAGGTGCTAAATTGGGTATTATGAATTTTAAGTACTAGAATTAAAATAATAATGAAATTTAAAATATTCTCAAGAAAGAATATAAACAATGGGCTGATATAACTTTAATGCAGTGAAGACATATGAAGAAAACTGAGAAAAGGAAAAACTTCTTACCTCAATTCCTACGGTGTGGTGAAGAATGCTAACCAAAAGGACATGTTCCATCATCAGTCTGGCAGGCAACACAGCTTCAGTTACACAAGCATTCATAAGAACATCTGTCAAAGTATCATTCATATCCTTTCTACTGTTTGCCATGTATAGCTCTTCCAGTTGTCCACTTATAGAAGCCATGTTAGGTTCACTCAACCTATAATAAAAATTGTGTTTCTTTTCAAAAATTTATTTCATGTTAACTTATAAAATTTTAGATCCTCTCAAGACTATTAATCTTAATTTTTGTACTTAAGAGCTTCAAATTTTATTTTCTATTTGAAAAGTTCTTGGATGCAAGTTAAAAAACTCAACAAAACAAAATACCATATCCTTTTAATTCTAAGTATTTTTTCCATTTAGAACACTTTTATCTTACTCTGAAAAGGGTTACTACAAACAGATACTAAACATTTAATTAAACTAACTTTTATTTTTATTTAAGAAATATTTATTAAACTCTTACTCACTGGAAGGTACTGAGGATAGAGAAATAAAATTCCCTCCCTCAAGAAACTTGTATTCTACTGGGAGAATTTTTAAGGTATTGAATATATTATTCAAAGATAATAAATATATTATTCAAAATAGTGTACTCTTTACAGTACATGTTACAGATATCATTACAGAAAGAATGCTACACTGAGGCGAGCATAACGGAATCATTCACAGTCACTTTCCCATTCATCCTTCTGCTGAACATAACGCCTTGAGATTCTCCTCTTGGAATAACAAAGGTCTATATATAGTCCTCTTTTAAAATTCTGTCTTGAGTGCTGCAAAGGAGAATCCTAGGATAGTGTACACTTAATTTTGTCTTTCAGCCTTTTACCTTTGGGATGCAGAGAGACCTCCATTAAGTCCAGAGTTAACTTTTTTTAGTGTCATGGATCTCTCTGACAGCCTGAAGAACCCTATGGACCTTTTCTCAGAATGTTTTTAAATGAATAAATAAAATATATATGATTACAAAAGGATCCAATCATACTGAAATACAGTTATCAATTTTTTTTTTTAAAACAAGGTCACGGACACCAGGTTAACAATCCTTGCTCTAGAACTTTAACTGAGGAGAGAGATTAAGCTGATTTATTTTTAAAAAACAGGAGGCCAACAAGGACCTTGTGCCAAGATTTTATTGATCACACTGAGCTCTAGAATAGTAATATATAGAAGAAAACCTTATAGTTTTTAAGTTACCCACAAAAACCCCCCATAAACAATGTTCCAACTATTTCTCCCCAACCAGTGTGCTACCCTGTCAGTAAGATATACAATAGTCTTTTCTTAACATGTAACCATATAGAGCAGAATTGCTTCTTTTTCATTGACCTATGGATAGCCTGGATTCCAGAGACACCATATCTTTTTTGCCCAGGTCTCCTCATATAAATTATATTTCTTAAAATCTTTGTGGGTTAGGGAGTCTAAAGTAGAAATCGACCTAATTAATATTATTCCATTCTTGTTCTTTCAATGATGTCATCAATAACAACAAAGGAAAACAAGAGGAGTTACAAACATCTTAGGATGCATGTACACGACATGTAAAAACAACCTAAAACCAGAAAAGAATAGCAAAAGCTATGGTGGAGAGTTGAGGAAGAGTGATGTTCCCAGGCAGAGGTGAGAATGCTGGTGCTCTCTGAATCTGACTCAAAGCTACTATTTTAGAGGGTATACTTAGTTCCTCTACTTCTTCACAGAAAGGAGACTTTGTAGAGTGGAAAGACATGGATTTATTCTTGCCTCTGACCCTAGCTTTGAGATCATAGACAATTCCCTGAACTTCTCAGGAAACTCTTTAACAACGCTTACTTAATAAGAGATGATTTAAAACCACACATTTTCTGACTTCCTCCTAGAAGGGGGCAAGGCCAATTTCTATCTATCCTTCCCAAAGTAGGTAGAGGGTGATTCGTAATATGTGATCTACTCTAGGCTTTTTTTAGCTAGGACAGAGGGAGAGAGTACAGAAGGGGGCCTTAGAGAGGAGGAGGATTCATAGGATGAACAAAACTTGAAAACTCATGGTTTGGAATGTGCTGCTTTCCCTGTAGAAAAAGTAGAAAGTATTCAATAATAATCTAATCGTTTTTCCTGCCTGCTGTTTAAAATTTAATTCACTTAAAAATAATGTTCTATATCTCCATGGAGAATGATCAATTTGGCTAATTTCAAGACACAATAGAGTCCTCAAGAATTGAGATATATTACCTGTTAATTAGACCTTTCACATTTTTCTTTAACCTTTCTAGTTCTTCCTTCTTTTTGGCATCCACTGTTTCCTCAGATCTTCTCACATGAGGTGGGATATACTTTGCACTTTTACAAAGAACCTAATTAAAAGGATAGAAATAAATTAGTGAGATAAATTTTCTATTAGAAAAAAATCCAAAATTCATTTGCAAATTGCCTTTTTGTCATAATCCCATTAAAGTATTAAAAAGCTAAAAATTAATGGGGAAGGTAATAAGGATTCACGTTTATGTAATGCCTTAAGTTTTATAGAGGGCATCCCCCACAAAAACTCTGTGAGGTAGGCAGTACAAGTACTATTGTTTCCATTTTACTAAGGAAATTGAAGCTTAGAGAGATGAAATGATTTCTTCAGGGTCACAGAGTTAAAATGTCAAAGCTGAGATTCAAACCAAATTTTGACCTTTCCTCACTGCAAGTTCTGATCTATCTACAACACAGAGGCATAACAGCAAATATTCACGTAGGGCATTAAAGTTTATGAATCATTTTCCTATAAACTAAATATTGATAATTATTAGTGACAATTAACAAAACATAAAGAATTTATAGAGTGGAGATCTAGTTCTCGACAGTGGCCTGTTTCATACCAACGCACATGTTAATATCCTCTATTGTACCAGTTTGTGCTCACTGAGTTTATCTGAGTATCACAGCACACATGAATACAATGTTAAACCAGATTAAAAGGTACATAGGAGAGATTCTTCCATATTAAGAACACGTTAAATTTACTGCATGCATAGCACTGTTCTTGAGAGCACCTTCAATTCATAAACATAGTTCTAGAGCAAAAATAGCATGAAATAATTCAATATTTGTCCAAAACACCATGACACAGGAAACAAAAATCTGTCTCTTGCACAATAAATTCCCAGATTGATAAATTAGGTCAATTCCTTGTAGAAATACAACCTGGCAACTACTTCCAGTAGGTGCACAGGCCCCACCCCATCTGAAGTCCCACTTACCAAAAATCCAGAAGACAAAATTGTCCTTGGTACTATCTAATGGTTCAACATCAGAAAATGGTATTATTTTGTTAATAAAAATGACACTCATGAAGATGCACCTACCTTGCTGCTCTACATGACTTATAGCAGAAACCTCCTATATTGGTGCATCTAGGTGGCTCAGTGTATAGGGCACCGGGGCTGGAGTTAGGAAGACCCCAGTTCAAATCCAGCTTCAGACACTTAGTAGATATATGCCTCTGGGCAAGTTACTGTCTCAGTTTCCTCATCTGTAAAATGAGGACAACAATAGCACCTACCTCCCAGGTTGTTGAATGAGGGTCAAATGAAATTGAAACATGGCACACAGTTAAGTGTTATATAATTTTTATGATGATGATTTGATCTTTGCATCTATCAGAATGTGAGCTTCTTGAAAGTAAAGACTGCCTTACTTTCCACTTCCCCAGGAAGGGGCACAGTGCTTTTCACATTTAATAGATTTTTTTTTCATTAATCATCATAGATAAAAAGTGTACTTTCTAGGAGGACCCGCACCTGTAGAAAACATGATCCTCGACTCCTCGGGTCTGCAAGGTAGGTAGGTAGGATCAAATAGATACATCTCCAGCTCCTTTCAAAGCACTGCTCAACTGTGAACTCCTCCCCCCTAGTTTTCAGTCCTCTCTTGACGTTAAATTATACCTACTTACTTGGTTGGACACAAGTTGTACCACCTAGACCCACTGGAAAGTAAGCTTCCAGGGGCACCTAGGTGGCGCAGTGGGTAGAGCTCCCGTCTTGGGGTCAGGAGGACCTGAGTTCAAATCCCAACTCAGACACTTAACACTAACTAGCTGCGTGACTCTGGGAAAGTCACTTAACCCCAATTGCCTCACCAAAACAAAACAAACAAACGAACAAAAAAAAAAAAGTAAGCTTCCAGTTGGCTGGGAATGTTTGGGTTTCATCCTGGCTTCATCCACGGGGATTTTCCATTCACTTTTAGTTCTTTAATAGTTTAATGGGAATATGACAAAAGGCAAGGTACAAATTAATTTGGAATTTTTTTCTCGTAGAAAATTTATCTCACTTATTTCTACCCTTTTAATTAAGGTCTATATAAATAGCCAATACATAGAGACCCTTAAAAAATGCTAGTTGGATTGAATACCTTAAAAGACAGACCACCACCCAAAAGGGTGCTTTAAGACCAAAAAAAAAAAAAAAGGCAAAGTTTTCACGGACAAGAAGGTGATGTTTTTGCACTTTACCTCCTTGGTGGTGCTCTCATCCTCAGAAGAGGCATCTTCGCTATCCTCATCTGCAAAACGCACCCTCTTCCTGCCCTTTCTCTTTTCCTTCTCGGCCTCTACCTGCGTGTCTGCGCTGTCTTGTTCCTCCTCGTCTTCCTCGTCCTCTTCTCCTTCTTGGAGACCCTCTTCCATTATTGCCTCCTCCTCCCCGTCCTCGTCGTCCTCGTCACTGTCTGCTCCCGAGTCGCCCTCGTCACCGTTCCCGTCCAGGCCGCCCCCTCGGGGCGCCGGCGCCCCCTCCCCGTCCTCGGCGTCCTCCTCCCCGTACAAGGCGGAACCGCCGCCGGCCTCCAGCGCCCCGAGGATGTAGTCCAGGCCGTCGCGGACAAAGCTGGACGGCAAAGCCGCGGTGGCGCAGCCGCCGTCGCCCTTCTTCTTCTGGCGGCGCTTGCTCAGCCCCAGGCGGCGCTCCAACTTGCGGATCTCGCGGTCCTCTTCCTCGTTGGCCGCCAGAAGCGCCCGTTTCCGAGCCGCTACGGCGGCGGCACCGGGTCCCCGGGCCTGGGCCTGAGGGGGCCCGCGGAGGGGCCTGTTCTCGGCCGGCGGCTGCTGCGGCCTCTGCTGCTGCTGCTTTGGCTTCTGCGGCTTTCCGGGGGCCGAGGCCGGAGCCGAAGTCGGAGCCGCCTGCTTCTGGTTCTCCCCGGCGGCTCCCGGGCCCCCGCCCTGCCCCCCGGTCCGCTGCAGCCGGCGGGCTTTCCTCAGGTGCCTCTTCTCCTTCCTCAGCTCCTGGCGGCGCTTCTTCCCGCCGGGACGCGGGGCCGCCCGTGGTCTGCTGCCGTGGCCCGTACCCTCCGCGCCGCCGGGGGTCTTGTCTCCTGCGGCCGCGTGTACGAACTCCTGCACCGCCAGCCGCAGCCGCTTCATCGCGCCGCCGTGGCGGCCCGGGCCGGCCTTGCGCTTCATGGCTGCTTCCCTTCGGGGCAACCGGCCGCTACCACATGTAGGTGGGCGCCGCCATCTTCCTGGGGTCGCTAGGCTCCCGTCGGGCGGAAGAAGAGCGGCAGGCAGCCGTCCATCCGGCTTGGGAGGTCGGGAGGGCGTGCGTCACGGCGCCACTTCCTGGCGGGAGGGCGAGTGGCCAGAAGGGAAGAAGCTGAGGTGAGCCCCTGCAAGGGTTGGATGGTGAGGCTGGAGCCCGCCCAGCTTCACTGATAGAGGCGTCTCCTGGGCACTCCGGGCCCAGCCCATGGTGAAGTGCGATGTGGGGGACCGGCAATAGGGGAAGCCACTGACCATCTGGACACAGTAATTATCGCGGGGCGGGGAGAAGGAAAGCTAGGGACGCCGATTATCAGTTACTGGGCTTGTGGAAGGAGCTGCGGCCTCCGCGCCTCGAGAGGGAGTGGGCCCTGCCCTCCAGGGGCGTATAGTCTGCTGGCCTAGGGGGGATACACCCTTTACCTGCGCCTACTGCAATTTATTATTGAGGAAGAAGGGAAGAAAAGAAAGAAGGAGGGGAGGGAGGAAAGGAGGAAAAGAAGAAAAAAGAGAGAGGAAGGAACAGAGGGAAGGAAGGGAGAGAAGAAAAGAAGGGAAGAAAGGGAGAGAAGAGAAAAGGAAAAGGAAGGGAAGAAGGAAGGAAGGAGAAGAGAGAAGGAAGGAAGGGAGAAAAACAAGAAGGAAGGGAGGGAGAGAGGAAGGAGAGAAGGAAAAGGAAGAAGGGAGGGAAAGAAAGAAGGAAGGAAACTACCATTTATGAAATGACTACGGTGTACCAGCCATTATGCTGAGCCCTTTACAAATACTATCTCGTGTAATTCTTAAAATAACTATGATGATGATGCTATCATTATCCCCATTTTGCAGGTAAGGAAACTGAGGCAGGGTGAAGTGTCTTGTCCAGCTAGTAAGTGTCTGCATGTGGTTCTGAACTCAAGTCTTCCTCTTAAAGCAGGGGTTCTTCACCTTTTTGGTGTGTGTCATAGACCTCTTTGACATTCTGGTGAAGCCTGTAGCCTGTTTCAGAGTAATGTTTTTAAGAACATAAAATGCATAGGATTAAAAAGAAAACAACAATATAACAAACCAATTATATTGAAATAGTTATCAAAATATTGTAAAACCAAGACATTTACAGATGCCAGGTTAAGAACCCCTGTCTTAGGGAGCTCTTTAGAACACCCAGGAATTAAATGAATGGCAAGGATTACATAAACAGTATTGAACCCCAGTACTCTTGGCTCCAAGAAAGATTGCAGACCTCCCCTTCCTGCTTCACCCTACGTAAATTAATGTCATCAAATGATCACTTGTATGCTAACAGCTAATAGCAGGTAACAGAGAGCATTTATTAAGGACCTGCTATGTGCATGGCACTATGCTAAGTGATGGGACAAGACAGTCTCTGACCTAAAGGAGCTTACATTCTAATAGGTAAAGACAGATAATGAGGAGGTAGTAAAAGATGGAGACGGGGAATGGCTATGCAGGATGAGGTGGCCAGGCCAAAACTCAGCTTGCATAACCCAGGGTTTCAGTCAGTGGATAGAACACCAGACTAGGAGGCAGGAAGACCTGAGTTAAATCCTTCCCCTGGCCTGTAGCTCTATAACCCTGGGCAAATCACTTAATCTCTCTCGCCTTCAGTTTTCCCATCTATAAAATGGGAATAATAATAGCTCCTACCTCAGCAGTTGTTCTTAGGATCAAATGAGATTACTAAGTGCTTTGCAAGCTTTAGCTTGCTACTTAAATGCTAGATTATCATTAAATTTATTTATTCAGTGCCATAACAAATAAAATTCCAAAGGCTTGCCTATACCTCTGGAAGAGTAATAACAAAATTCTTCTGGGTGAACAAAAGGTCCAAAATCTCAAGGAAAATAATTTCTTAAAAAGTGGGAAAGAAGGGGACCTAGCAATAGCAGACTATCACTATAGTATACTATACTAATATACTACGAAATATATAGTAGAGTATAGTATACTACATAGTAGTAATCATCAAACCTATTTGGTACTGGCCAAAAAAATAGAGAAACCAGTCATTGGAAGAGAGTAGGTACACAACATGCAAGTGAGCATAGTTGTATAGTATTTCTGATAAACCTAAAGATCCTGCCTACTTGGGTAAAGGTTTACTATTAAAAAAAACAAACTTCTAGGAAAACTGGAAAGTAATATGGAAGAAATTAAGTTTAGACTAATATCTCACAGCTTGTATCACAATAAACTTCACATGGATACATGATCTAAATATAAAAGGTTTCATCACAATTGAATTAGAGGAACAGGGAGGGAGACACTTCACAACCATGGATAGGAGAATACTTGAGGGACAGGATCACAGAAGGTGAAATAGACAAGTTTGATTGAATGAAATTGAAATACTTCTGCAAAAAAAAAAATAACGTGCTCAGAAATTAATTGGGAAAAATCTTTGCAACCAGTTCTTCTCATAAAGGTTTGATATCCAACTATATGGAAAACTGACTCAAATATATAATTCAATAATAAGGGCCATTCCCCAACAAATAAATGGTCAAAGGCTAGGAACAGTTCTCAAGGGAAGAAATCCAAGTTATCAACTAACACAGCCGCATGAAAATAAATTCTCCAAATCACTATTAATAAGAGAAATACAAATTAAAACAGCTCTGAGATTTTACCTCACATCCCCCAAATTGGCAAAGACAACAAAAAGAAAAGTGATAGTCGTTGGCAGTCAGGTGCACATAGCTAGCTAGTGCCTTAACCAGTAGTTTTTTTTCTCCACTAGGTTCTGTGTAATCAGAGAAGCCCTTTGAAGACAAAAAGACCAGGTAAATGCATTATCAGAAGTCTCAATGCTGATCTGGCAGTAAATCAATTCAGTGAACATTTATTAAGCACCCACTGTGTGCCAGGCACTGGCAGCTAGGTGGGGCAGTGAATAGAGCTCTGGACTTGGAGTCAAGAAGACTGGAGTTAGAGCCATGTGACCCTAGATGTGTCACTTAACCCTTGTTTGCTTCTGTTTTTTCATCTGTAAAATGGGGATACTAATAGCACCTACCTTCCAGAGTTGTTGTGAAGCACTTAGAACAGTCTCTAGCACATAGTAAGCTCTGTGTGTTAGTTATTGTTATTATTATTATTATTATTATGCTAAATACTGAGGATATAAATAAGAAAAAGAAATTCCCTGCTCTCATGAGCTTACATTCTAATGCGGGAAGACAGCACATAAAAGGAAGCCATTTTTGCAGTTGAAATGAAGGTAAACTGAAACAACAAAGTTGAGTATGTTTGATTTATTGGTAAGGCTAGCCATTATCAATAAAAGGGGTCTTTAGCTCCTCAACAAGCCAAAAGACCCCCAGGTGGGGTTTACAAGGCTTCTTATAGTTGAGGGAAAGTGGATAGAAATAGAGCAGCACAGGGCAGCTAGGTGGCACAGTGGATAGAGCTCCTGCCTTGAAGTTAGGAGGACCTGAGTTCAAATTTGACCTTAGACACGACACTTAATAGTTATATGACCCTGCGTAAGTCACTTAACCCCAAATGCCTCACCAAAAAGCAAAAAAGAAAAAGAATAGCGCTTGGACAGGACAGTAGGTAGGATTAAGTCATCTGGTTTCTGTTGGTGGAAGGGAAGAGATTTTTTTTTTTTCTTTATCATTAGGGAAAGCTGATAGGTTGTGTCCACTTGCATACATGCAAGGACAGATAGCGGTACAGAGAAACCACATCTCTGACTACTGAATTTACGGATTTAGGGACTTCTGAACTTAACTCAGAGACAAAAGTGACTTGAACAGTTATATAAAATGTCAGTGGTTGGTATGAAATAGAACCAATTACAAATGGAATCAATTTGATTTTCTCAGTTCCTCCTTTGATCCATGGAAGACACAGCTGTAATCTAATTCTATAAGATTTTTAATGTGGTCGTTATCAGCAGTGCCATAAGCTTTTCTGGGGCTAGTCTAGAGCAGGCTTTAACATGTTAACTAAGGCAAGGTCTAAAAAGAGTAAGACAACAGAGGGCAATAAAGGCCCATTTATCAAGGGTAGCTAACAGGCCAATTCCTTGTGACCAAGTGAACCAAGAAGAAGGATTCTCCTCGGGGTCACCTAGTGATGGTAGTTGTGTTTCTGCTATAACTCATTGGATCTTATGTAGGCTTGTCATAATTTCTCCTGACCAGTTAATGTAAGAACTGTAAGATCAATGAGTTATAGCACAAGCCCTTCCCTGTGTTGCTTTAAGAATATCTAAAATGATGTGATTTTGCAAAAACCATTTGAGTTATAGAGCCTGCCTCAATTTAGGGGGAGGAGATGGATTCTCCTGTGGCCCACGCCAGTGTCTCAATTTCCAGTGAGAGATTCAGGCTTGGAGGACTCACAAAGGACTAATTTCAGAGGAGAGATTTGCGTGTCACCAAGGTAACTGGGAAAACTCAGCAAACAAACCCCAAAAAGCCACAGTAATACAATGATGATCGTTAGTATTAACTAACATCATGTCTCCTTGTATCCTAGTAACCCACTCTTAATGTCCGTTTAATCAGCTCATTTTATCTTGGATCCCAGATGTCTCATGTAGTTGTCTGATGTCTGCAAACATCTCTTGGTCATTCTGGAATAGGCTTCATTCTCAGGGCAGGTCTGAAGGAGGCTCCTCTTAAATGGGTTTGCTTCTTTGGGTTCCAAGTTACTTTCAAAAGAATCCTAGGTAATTTTACTAAAATCTGCCAGTAACAAGACTCAGTACAGGCATACCTTGTTTTATTGTGCTGTGCTTTATTGCATTTCACAGGTATTGCATTTTAAAATATATTTTTACATTATAATGTTCTATTTTTTTCCCAATTACATGTAAAAATACATTTTAACATTTGTTTTTAAAATTTTGAGTTCCAAATTCTCTCCCTTCCTCTCTCTCCTTTCCACTCCCTAAGAAGGCAAGCAATTGATAATAGGTTATACATGTGCAGTCATGCAAAACAATTCCATATTAGTCATGTTATAAAAGAAAAGACAGACCAAAAAAGAGTCAAGGAAAATAAAGTAAAAAAAGTATTCTTTGATCTGCAGTTCTTACTCTGGAGAGCGATAGCATTTTTTATCATAAGTTCTTTGGAATCGTCTTGGATCATTATATGCTGAGAATAGCTAAGTCGTTCACAGTTGATCATCAAACAGTATTGCTGTTACTGTGTACAATGTTTTCCTGGTTCTGCTCACTTCACTTTGCATCAGTTCATGTAAGTTTTTCCAGGTTTTCCTGCTTGTCATTTCTTATGACACAATTATATTCCATTACAATCATATACCACAACTTGTTCAACCATTCCACAATTGATGGTTATCCCCTCAATTTCCAGATTTTTTATCACCACAAAAAGAGCTGCTATAAATGTTTTTGTACATGTAGGTCCTTTTTCTTTTTCTTTGATCTCTTTGGGATACAGACCTACTAGTGGTATTGCTGGGTCAGACAAGAGGCGTGGTTTTATAGCCCTTTGGGCATAGTTCCAAATTATTCTTCAGAATGGTTGAATCAATTAATAATTCCGCCAACAGTGCTTTAGTATCTCAATTTTCCCACATCCACACCAACATTTGTCATTTTCCTTTTTCTGTCATATTAGCCAATGTGATAGGTGTAAGGTGGTATTTCAGAGTAGTCTTAATTTGCGTTTCTCTGTAATCAACAATAATTCAGGGTATTTTTTTTCATATGATTATAGATAGCTTTGATTGCTTCATCTGAAAACTGCCTGTTCATATCCTTTGATCATTTATCAGTTGGGAAATGGCTTTTATTTTTATAAATTTGACTCAGTTCTCTATATATTTGAGAAATGAGGCCTTTATAAAAAAAATTGCTGTGTGTAAAAATTTTTTCACAGTTATGATTTCTATGTATTTCCCTTCATCCTATTTCCCCCCATTTATCCTACTTTGTAATTGTTTTAGAGCATCATGAATTGTGCTAATATAAGATGGCAAACTTTATATATGTTGTGTATGTTCTGACTGTTACACCCACCAGCCATTTCCCCCATCTCTCTCCCTCTCCTGAGGCCTTGCTATTCCCTGAGACACAACAATATTGAAGATATTAAATAAACTTAGTTGATAAGGCAGCAGCAGGTTTTGAGAGGGCAGACTCCAATTTTGAAAGAAGTTTTACTCTGGGTAAAATGCTATCAAATGGCATTTTATGTTACAGGGAAATCTTTCATGAAAGGAAGAGTAAGTCAATGTGGCAGACTTCATTATTGTCTTATTTTAAGAAATTGCTGTAACTACCTCACCCTTTACTAACCACCTGATCAGTCAGCAGCCATCAATTGAGATAAGACCCTCCACAAGCAAAAAGATTGCAACTTGCTGAAGGTTCAGATAAGGGTTAGCATTTTTTTTTTGGCAATAAAGTATTTTTAATTAAGGTATATACATTTTTTTTAGACATAATGCTATTGCATACTTAATAGACTACAGTGTCATGTAAACATAACTTTTATATGCACTAGGAAACCACAAAATTCATGTGACTTACTTTATTGCACTCATCTGGAACTGAACCCACAATATCTCCACAATATTGCCTGTACAATTTAGTACAAACTCCTAAATTTGCTTTTCTAATAACTAGCTCATGTGGTGAAAACCAGCTTAAGCCTTATAGTTCTAATCCTATTAACAGTAGGACTATAAGAGGGACATCAAATTAAGAACCCACAATTAACCTGAAACTTAAAGAGTTTCAGTTGTTACATACCACTTGCCATTTCTATCCTTACATCAACCCTTTACCTGATATGGAAATTGCTATTAACAGGCTGAAGAAAGAATTTTAAAAAGAATTTATGGAGGCCTGACTTGTAAAATGGGCCTTCCTGTCTCTCAAAATTATCAAGCAGATACTTCAAATGGAAAAATAATTTTACCTTAATAATTATCAATGCAATTTTACATGTAAAGTCTTTACATTCAATTTTTGAAATTTATTATCCCATTAGAACCGTTTGGAAGCCAATTATATACATTTTAATATTCTAGTTCTTAGAGAAAACAGTCTGATCCTGTTGTTTTCTCAAAGTTTACTACTCTAATTGAAAAAAAAAAACCTTTTACATCTTTGTCTTACTAGGAAATTTTTACCCCTTTATAATTCTTCCCTTCGGAGGATGTTATTCCCATGTCATAACTACTAGTAAGGGGGTGGCAAACACAGGAACTCACTTACTTAGTTGCTTAGGGTATAAAATTGCTTAGCAATTAATATTGAGAACAGTGAGATCTTTCATACTTACATCCTATTATAGTAGTGCAGAGGTGCTGGAGTATTGCAGCAACAAGATTCATTATATTTAAAAAATTTACCTCCCATACTTAGAGAAATTTGCTATGAAAGGAAGAAGTAGGGACGTGGTTGTAACAGACTGGACCTGCAGGCTTAAGCCTAAGGGCACAGAATGAGTCAACATAGGTAAAATGGGATAAAGCATCTTTAGTTCTGTTTGATTTCAGGTAGGAGTGGTAGTTACTATTGCAGGCCTATACAACTTGTGGCCTATGGGTTGCTTGCAGCCCATCACAGGATTTCATTTACATACAAAAGATGTTTTCGTAAGTGGCCCATGGGCCACAAGTTGTGCAGGCCTGTACTATTGAACAGTCAGTCACACAATAAAGTTCCACTTTGTTCACAGGTGTCATAGCCAGGCTCAGGATTAACTAAGTAGGAACCAATCCTATTCAAAAAGGAAATAGCACCATGGGGAAACTGAGCCCAGAGGATCCTGCCTTCAGCTATGCCAAGGTTGTCTCCTCAACTTTTCCCAGACATAGACATCCACCTGTAGCATTTTCTGGATCATATTCCTTTTGAGCAGCTTGTGGCATTTCCCTAAAATGGTAGATTTCTGACTTAAGGATCATTCAGACATTTATACCTGAATTCAAAACTCAGAATATTATCAAATTACAGTCACAAGAGATTTTTATCTCAAGTAGCAAGTTTCACTAATAGTTTAGGGCTAGACCTAGTTATCATTTCTCTCATCTAATTGCAATAACAGCAATAAAAAAGTTTACCAGGCCTTTTTTAAAAAAATCACTTTTCTTTTTCTTCTCCAATGTAAACTCAATTTAAAAGTCAATATAAAAATTGTATAAAAATCAATCATTTTCTTCCCAGAGTTGCTGATGGTCTCTTAGTTGCCAAATCCAATGACCTTTTCTCAGTTCTCATTCTCCTTGTCCTCTCTGCACTATTAATCACTCTCTCCTCCTTGATCTTCTCTTCTCTCTAGGTTTTTGGGGCACCACTCTCTCCTGGTTCCTCCTATCTGACCACTCCTCTATCTCCTTTGATGGATCCACTGCTCCAGATCACTCCCTCTTATTAGGTGTCCTAGGGGTTCAGTCTTGGGTCCTCTTCTCTTCTCACTCTATACTACTTTACTTGGTGAGCTCATCAGCTCCCATGGATTTAAGTGCCATCTTTATATAGCTGATTCTCAAACCATCCTTTCCTGCACCAATCTCTTTGCTGATCTCTACTCTCTCATCTCCAATTGCCTTTCAGATATCAGGAACGGGATGTCTAATAAACATCTTAAACTCAACATGACCAAAACCAAACTCCCATTCTAATTTTCCTATTATTGTAGAGGGTAACACCATCCTCCCAGTCTCTCAGGCTCACAACCGAGGTGGCCTCCTCAACTCCTCACTATCTATTGTTCAACCTCCTTATTCAGTCTGTTGCCTACGCCTCCTTTGGAACATCTCTCAAATACACCTCTTCTTCGCTGACCTTGCTACCACTCTGGTGTAGGCCCTCATCACCTCAGATCTAGATTATTCTGGATTATTTCAATAGCCTGCTAGTGGGTCTGCCTGTCTCACTTTCTCCCAACTTCAATCCACCCTCCATTCAGCCACTAAAGTGATTTTTCTAAAGTGTAAGTCTGATCATGTCACCACTCTATTCAATAAACTTTAGTGGCTCCCTATCACCTCTAGCATCAAATAATTTGGCATGAAATGCCTTTCGTAATCTAGCCCCATCCTACCTTCCCTGTCCTCTTAATACCTTATTCCTCAATTTGTACTCTTCAATTCAGTGACACTGGCCTCCTGGCCACAAACAAGACACTTTCTTTCTTGGCTCTGAGCATTCTCTCTGGGTATTTCCCATGTCTGAAATGTCCTCCTTCCTCATCTCCACCTGCTGACTTCTTTTAAATCCCAACTAAAATCCTATCTTCTACAGAAGCCTTTCACAACCCTTATAATGCCTTCCCACTTTGAATTATTTCCTATTTTTCTTGCATATAGCTTATTTGTATATATTTGTGTATTTGTTGCCTCTACCATTAGCTCCTTAAGGGCAGGGACTGTCTTTTGACTCTTTTCTTATCCCTAGT